TCGCCTCTGTCGGCCAAAAGGAGCTGGCGAGGCGGAGATCCTAGGTGCACATGAACGAAAATGAAACTCAAATCATGGACGCCGCGTCGCCGTTACGCTCTAGTGTCAAAGGCCTGGAACCTCCGGGCCACACAGCACTCCTGCTGACTCGGGGATGACCCCCCAAATGACAAACTGCACAGCAGAAGAGTCACTGACACTCAGGTTTCTTCCCGCTGGTGGCGCGCTCTCCGGTCGCCTCGGTAGTCTACACGTGACGTAGTCTACAAAAAGGGGCATCTACGGAGGCCGCCTGCTCTTATGGGGCGCAACCGTCCGGCGATCACTAGGCTGGACGGCTGCTCAGCAGCTCAGTGTCGCGCTTGCCAGGAAGCTGGGGCTTTGCTCCAGCAAGGTCCACACACCGGACGGGCAAACGTACTTGCTTCCATGAAGCTGCTGCAGAAGTGGGCGTCTTTGAGCCGTTGCTGAACTCGAGCTTCGCCTTGCTTGAAGTGGCACAGAGCGATGCGGCCCTCCGTGCACAGGTGGATGTTGGAACGTTCAGAAGCAAGATATCCAGCAGGCTTTGGGTGTACGGGTGGCAACGACAGAGTGCGCCTCGTCGTATAAAGCCACTGTGCCGCCGTGCGATCCCTGCAGAGCTTGTGGAACTCCACACAAGGCCGCATCTTGGTGATCTTCTCGGCTGCTTCATCCACGGAGGTGCCCATCATGAGCGCATAGATGAGGGCTGTGCAGGCAGGAGCCCGATGCTTGCCCGCCATACAATGCACAAGCACTGAATCACCACAATGAAGGCTCTGGTGGATGAGAGGCCATGCTGCTTTGAACTCCTGATCCATGCGCTTGCTGCCCATCTGCACCTTCATGACGCATGCCTCCGGCAACGACACGCCCCCCCGACCCTCGGGGTATTGTGGTAGACAAGCGATCTGGAGGTGGGCCTTCGGGAAATGTTGCACTGTCTCAGCGATCGGAATACCGGAGAGCCACAGCTGGCCACCTGACCGAGTCGTCATGATCAGGGTTGGGGCGAGAGTGTCACGCCCTTCTGAGGTGGCCAACCGGTCCCAGTGAGATTGCTGAGGTCCTGGCGACACTGCTGGAATAGGCAGGGTGCTCGGTGCTGGGTCTGAAGACTGTCGCCAAGGAGGCGTTCTGGCCAGCGGTGGAGGCGATGGATCCCGCGGACCTCGCGGCTTCTTCTTGGCCGACGTTGCAATCAACTTGGGCGGAACCGCCTTGGATGGAGGTGCCTTCGGAGGCGTCTTGGGCCTTGGAGAGAGGGCCTCTGCTGCGTCGGGCCGAGCACTTGCGATTCCGCTCGCCGGCGTTTGGCTCTCGAGGAGGGTTTGGCCTTTGAGGACGTAGTAGAAGAAGCTGATGCCGCCGCCGCACGAACTGGAACTGGCGTCTCGGCCGGCAAGTACTTCTTTTCGGTGCAAATAAATGCACCGTGGCTCCCGCCACAAGCCCGCCCCCGGGCCAAAAGAACAGCGCAGAGGTGAGCGTTCCCGCAACCCTCCTCTCCTTCTGCGCACCCCTCGGGCATCTGGAAAGCCCCGCAAAGGCGACGCCCATTCTTCAAGAAAGCCGTCAGCACGCGGCCTCGGATGGCATCCGGCATGGATACCGTCTGGCGCGAGGTGCTTCCTCGGATTTTGTTTGCCGCTGCCTTAGCGACTCGGGCCCTGGAGAATTGGAGGTGCGTCTTCAGCGACTCCTTGGTTGGCTGAGCCGCGTACCTCGTCTCCTTGTCCTTCGCGATGGCCATGGCAAGCGCGTCTTTGGCCACTTCGCGGAAACCATCCAAATCGGCAGGAAGCACCTCCTCCCAAAAGCTGTGGCCCTCACAGCTATGGGCCACTGAAGTGGCCAGGATCTTGTTGCGAAGGGACTGGGCATACCGGCCAGGATCTTGTTGCGAAGGGACTGGGCATACCGAGCTGACGAATAGTGCAATGCCATCCCTGCTTCAGCCGGCTCTTTGGATTTGTCCTGCCAATCGCCGAGGGAGCAAAGATCAGACGACGACAAATTCAGAATATGGCCCACTGTGGGAAGCATTCGTCGCCAAGAGTAGGTGGTCAACTGCTCTGTATTGTCCAGGAACTCGGCAAAGATCGACTGGCATAGGTGCTGAACCTCAGCGATGTTCCAAGGCGTCCCACGCCCGTCAAAGCAGATCCCTGCACTCTTCTGGGCCACCGGAGAGAGGGCCTTCCAGGCGTTGAGCCACTCCACAGTCCAGTTGAAGGTGGAGGCAAACTCGGCTGGAGCACACCAATCAAAGCCGCCACGAGCATGACGCTGCTTGCCTTTGCGACAGTGGCCGTGGAACACGAGTGGGCTGATGCGACGAACGGTTGAGCGGCGAAGATGCTGGTATCGCAAGCAACCTGTAGCCACCAGCCAAGAGCCGAGAAGACATGTCCAACGCGGGTCCCCCCCACGGCACATGCTCTCAATGCGCTCTTCCAACAGCTGCAGCATGCCCGGCTCCACAACAAGGGCTTGGCTCTTCGTAGAAGTGGCCTTCTTCTTCAGCTCCGGAGAGATACGAAGCCGGGCCACTTCCCAAGGAGCTCCAGAATGCTTGCACAGCCAACGAAGCGCATTGAGCGCGCGGGTAGGGGCCATCGTCCCCTGATGCAGGAAGTTGTCCATGTCCACAAAGTCCGGAGGGAACGACCTCCCGCGGTGGAGCAAAAAGGCGTGGAGCTCCCCATAGGTGCGGAGAGCATTCTGAATCGTCACCGACTCAGACTCCGCCACTTTGGTCTGGGCCAAGCGAAGGACGGAGGCCTGCCAATCCCGCTTCAGGGCCTCAGTCAATAGGCCAACCGGCTTCAACGCCCCCACGGTCAGGAACACCTTCTGCAGGGCCAACACTTGGCGCTGTATGGACTCGGGCTGATCCTGCACCCGCTCATGAAGGCGTACCCCCGCCTCAAGTGGAACTTCCTTCCGCTTGCGAACCAGTGGAGGACGTGTATCCGGCAGCAGGGGACCCCCCCTCAAGCAAGCGAGCCGCCGCCGGGAGCAGCTCATCCTGCTGGGCAACCCGGACTGCGAGCCAAGCGTCCGCCAAGAAATGGCCTCCCACGGCCACAGCTTCCTCCCAGGTAGAGAAGGCAAAGGCGAAGTCCTCATCTTTCTCATAGCCCCGTTCCCGGCGCCATGTGATGGCACGGGCCCCTGCCACCCTAGCAAGGCTGTCTTCGGCTCGCCAACCAGAGGACGAAGCCGGTTCGGCCGGCGGAGCGTCCACTGCTCCAGCGACTTGTGCACGGTACACCATGGCTTGCGCACCCGCTGAACTACCCACTATCGTCATCAGACGACGAAAGTTCGCGGCAGGCCGGACAGATTTGGAGCACTGGGAAACAGGCGGAACACACTCCTTTGATACAACCAAGGCACTGCCGATAAGTGGGATCACCACAGCCGCAACACGCTGGAGGAAACTCCGACTCTCCGTTGATTGAGGACCCCAACCATCCACGAAGGGCTCGATGGGCACGAATCTTCGGGTGAAGAGCTTCCAGGTGGCGCGGCAAATGCTCAAGATCTGGCAGTGGGGCACGAAAGGGGTTGGACCACAACCCATGTGGTGATCCCATGCATGATCCAGTGTCGCATATAATAGAGAACTTCAGATTGAAATGTTTGCAGGGGCAAGAGGTCAAAATCCCCAGGAACCTTCTGCTGGAACTCCCACAGGTAGGAGGGCACAAAATTTTCGGCAGAGTACGGGGTACGGTAGGGCTGCAACAAGAGGAGGTCCATGTTGGCGTCCAACCGAGCATGCCTATCCCAGGCCTGCTGAGGAGTGAACCCGGATGGCACGATCGTCCCGCGCCGGTTCCAAATCCCGACCCACGGGAAAACATAGCCCCCTCGCCCCTGATCGCACCGTGGGCAGGCACTCTTAGGACACACTGAGATCCGCATAGGGGGGGAAACCATCTGGCCCGTCCCCCGGGCGTGAAGACGGAGGCATGTGCTCGAAGAGAACCACCGAGCTCCAAAGCCGCATCGCGCCTGCCCGGTCCCCCCGGGCCAAAAGGGCATCGACCTGGCGACGGAACTCGATGAACGCGGCGGACGAAAGCACCTCAGCAGCCGTGAACATGGCGACATGCACACCGACGATAGGCTGTGAAGTCATCCACAGCACACACCGCAAAAATTAGCAGAACAGAAACTCCACTGTCCCACTTTTGGCTTGAGCCAAAATGGACAGTGTAACAAATGTAATGAAGACTGTGCACCCAAACCTGCCCAAAGCTCGACACAGTTTTACGTATACAGTATCCATACGGGGATTCTACGGCTTTGTTTAAGACCCCAACACAGTCGTGACCACACATGTCCATAGGGACAGAATCCACACCAGCATCCACACCATGTCCGTAACACCAAAGGACGGCCACGGACCTGTTCTGAGAGGAGTACCATGGCGGGACCTGTTCCCCAAACGGGACCGGTGACGGCCACCGGAGCGCAGAGACGAACCACTGAGGACGGAACCATCCGAACGAACGAGAACCATAGAGGGGTCGATGCCAGGTACCAAAAAAGAAATACCACAGTCGTTCACAACGGCATCCCCTCTATTCATCAAGCAACCCATATAATAACAAGGATGAGACCAAGGCCATCTATGCTTGAGACCTTGGACCCATGAAACGCGCCCGCCCACGACCTCTAGTCAGTTTTCCCGAACTTTGGAGTCGCTCAACTTGTGACCTTGGACGGCCCAAGATGCCCAGGTAAGTGGCCTGATCGGATGAAAGTGGCTTCATCAGATGATCTCAAGTTAGGCCACTTTGAAGGTCCAAGACTAGCAGAACGTTGGCATCTCCATCTAAAGGGTGTTATTCATCAACCCCATATCAACCCCATTGTGGGCTTCCATTCGACACCCAGGTCGCATGCAGAAGATCAAGCACCCTTCCCGGATGGTCCGGTCGCCGGTTGGTTGGGCACCCCACACATCCTCCAAGGCAAAGGGCAATGGCCTGTTGGTCGCTCCAAGCACCGTGACGTCCGAAAGATCATGGGGACAACCATTTCTGATAAGGTCAGAACCGTTTCTGTGTTCAAAGCGCAGTTTTGTCATGTTCTTTAGCAAGGGCTGGGTGTTTGGGCACGAGAGTGTTGAGATGTGTTGAGTGCTCAGTGGTTCACTTCCCGAATCAAGCAACCTGGAAATGTTGAGGCACGTTTGGAAGATTCCTTGGAAAGTGGATTCTTTCGTCCAAGATCAGCCCTCCAATGCTTGAGTGGACTGATTGAACCGAAGGCGATATATCGGTGGACATCGCAAGGCTGTTGAACGCCGATATGGGTTTGTATTTAAAAAGGGGGACCTCCCAGGCCCAATGGGTTTAGTATCTTTTTGATATTCTTGGAGGTCATTCCTTTGGAAGGTCTCCCTATTATACAAAACACACACCCATATACACTTACACGGAATCTGTAGTCTCCGGGTTTGCTCATGGAAAATTCATCAACCCCCCCAGCTCGCTCGCGAAAGTATGGAGGGATGTTCATTGAGGCCACAAACCACCCACCAAAAGTTCCTCATGGCTTCACTGAATTTGACCGCACCAACTTTGCAAAGCAAAAAACAAACCAACCATAAAACTGGTACACTGGGGGGAAAGTAGCAGGCACTACTGTTTAAATAACGGGGGGATCTGTGCTCAAAATTAGCAATTGCAGAGGGGGTAGATGGCACAACGATTGAGGGTAGTGATTTGGCCCCATCCCGGTCAGGAAAAAAATAGATGGCAGGAAGATGAGCTGTGGAAGCGTCTGTAAGGTTGGTCAGCATCTTCTCCAACTTAGGGGCTTGTGGACTGGTCTTTGTCTGGGGATTCACTCTCACGACCATTCGGCTTGGATCTGGGGCCCCCTGCTCTTGGGATTACACCGCCAGGCCAAGAGCAGGGGGCTCCAGATCCAAGAAGGGGCCCAGATGTGACCAGGAATCCATCCCGCCTATCGATCATCAGGCCATTCAATTTTCTATCTTTATCGATAGGCGTTATTATAATCTCTGCCCTTTATTTTAACCTTGTGGTGGCAGAGATTATTCTTTTATTATCTTCTTATCTACTTCTCATGAGTCATTCTTTCATTTATAATAGAATGACGGGTAGTGCATCGGCTGGGAGATACATTTCTGCCGATGGCGCAACGTTTGGCGACCATCTACTTTCAGACCGGAGATGGAGATGTTTTTTCATTGTTTTTCCCCACCTGTCAGGTGAGAGTTGTTAGATGTTGTCAGTTGTCAGATTTTAGAAGAGGATCAGAGAGTCAGTAGAATAATTAGTTCTCATTTGTCTCACCAATTCATGACTCAAAACATCTCAAAACCTACGAACCCCCCCCCGAAGCACCGAAGCGCGACGACTGAGCCAGCACGGTCCGCATCCGAGCCACCACCAAGGTCCACAGCCCATGCAAAGCAGCTGGAACAAGGCAGCCTGACGGTCGAGCTGGGGAGCCAAGAGGCTTCACTCCTGGTAGGCATACATAGGCATACTAAATATATACCCACCCAAATCCCACAAATACTACACTTGAAATAGGGGGTGGATTGTGGGTTGTTGTCTTCATTTTTGGGGGATGCTCCTCTCCTCTGTGCTTCTTTAAGATGTGTCTCAGGTGCTCCTTCTCATCTCTGTTACCACCTCTTTTCGACTGGTGAGACCGGCAGGGACTGGTCGATGTCGATATTGCTGATACGAGAACGAGAATCAAGGGGGTGGATGTTCCGCCTACATGGATGGGCTGCTCCCTCAAAATTTATTCAACCAACCAAGGCCATGTACAAGGCCATCGATGGCCCCGGGTGTTGTCCGGGTGGGGTGTTCCGGACGAGAACCCTCCGGATCGCCTGCTGGATCATCTTGGCTGCGCCGAAGATCTGCCCACTCTGTCGCTGCTGCCAGAAGCAGTAGACAGCGTCGGCCACCTGCGGCCGGGGCGCAGCGGTCAGGCGCCCCGAAAAGAGGCCGCCCCCTGTGCCGGTTGGGGTGGGACTTTTACGGTGACCGGAGATCCACGATGATCCATCATGATTCCCTGCTTTTTGGGGCAGGGTGCGATCGGCATGGACGAAGGCTTGGCATTCGTTCATGGCACGAGCAGGTCTCGCACATCCAATCAAATCCAGGTACCATAGACCAGGCGCCCTCGGTGTGGTGGTGTTTTCGGTCCATGTGAGGTCGACCGGTCAAGGGTGGTCCATTTCACCACCATGTTGGGTCGTGACTCAACCTACTCATGTCGCCCTACTCATAGGCGTTTCCAGTCCAAGGGATCTCCATGGATCTCCCAACGGGATCATTGGCACATCCATCCAAATACACCCAGAGAGATTAACATGGAACCTGAGAATGGACCAGACTGGAAGACGATTTTCCTTTACACCCCAGTGCTTCTTCAGGTTGCATGTGGGTCCCTTCCAGGGCGTCCTCTTTGGTGGATCGATGAAGCTCCGCCGCGCTCAAGCGCTCGGCCGAACTCCCGCTCTCCGTCGGTCGGCGTCCACCACGTCCACCAGGTCCTCACCGATCTCCAACCTGATGTGCGATGCACGAGGACGTCTGATGTGCCTCGCTCGGATCCGCGCGCGCGAAGGGCGGCGATCGGCAGCGGGATCGGCAGCGGATGGCGAGCTCGGTGCGGGGGCGGGGCGGTTGTTGGTGCGACTCACTGAGTTTGTCCCAACAAAAAAGGTCCTCAGGTCTATATACCGGGTGTGTCTTCAATCGGATACCTGAAAACAACTTCAATTGAGGTTTTTCCTGTTCTGTGCATATTATTGTCCATTCTACGTCATTCCACAGTCCATTCTACATCATTCTACAGTACTCTTGGTCTGGTATACTGTGTCTCAAACATTCTCAAACAATACAAGATCTTGACATAAGGGCAAAAAAACAAAGTACCCTTCCGCATCCACGGCTTTCTGCACCAGACAATGACTCCAGTGGATGATGATGGATGATGATGGTTTGTAACGGCCTTTCTCAAAAAGAGTCGCTGATCTTTTCCGACTGTTGCTCTGGTAATGGCACACAGCTTACCTCTAAGAATTCATGCTACATCAACCGTACCCCCTGTTTAGCTCAACTTGTGAAAAAAAGTGATCTCCAGTGAAACACAGAGAGAGAGAGAGAGAGAAACAAAATCAAGAAGAAAAAGGACATCTAAAGTTAAGGTAGAGTTAAGGTAGAATGAAAAAGAGATACTGTTTGAAAAAGAGTGATCTCTCAGCTCTTGCACTCCCACCCCTCAGCTCTGTTGCTCCCTCTAAGTTCCTCGCATTCCAAACCATCCTGGACGGCACCAAAAGACAGTGTCGCTCGCCGGTGGGCAGCAGAAGCCATGTGGGTCCATCGTTACGGGAGTTTGCCAGACTTGAGATCTCCATGTTGATTTGCAGGCTGAGGAACACAAGGTGACTCATGTGACTGTGTCTAAAGAGCGTGATGTGCCGATGATATTGAAGGGGAGATGCAGGAATTTCAGAGAATTGCTTGTGTTTTTGTCCCCGTCCCCCGAAGAAAAAGCAGAACGTTTGCGAACGCACCCAAACACACTGGACCGGTTCGAGATCAAAGGACCGGTTCTTCGAGATCGGTCCGGGTGCTGGTGACTCTGCTGCTGCAAGGCTTCACTCCGTGACCTGCTGGCTTCTGGGGGACACAGGGACACAGCCTGAAGTTCCTCCTTGGAAGTCACATGAAGTCACACATAGAGAACCAATTTCTCATCAAAACTGGTTGCTCAGCCACTGTCGGTGATTGTAGGTGAGCATCAACAGTACTTGAAAAAGCCTATTTGTGATGCGTACATAGCAGTCCCTTGAAGTTCCAACATCACCCACGGGCGTCCCCGACCCCGAGAAGGACTGCTTTCTCATCCTTCTTTTTGTGTCAAGGGTTGCATGAACTTCGCCCAGCCAATTTTCCTCATGCTGCGTTCCCATGGTTGTGCTGGTTGCAGGCAACTCATGTCTCACAACATCTCACAACACTTGAAGTTCCTCTCGCTTTGCTCGAGGCATGCCACCTCCAGCATGAGAAGCACCCCAGGTCACTAAACTCCCATCCGCCAAGACGGCTGCAAAGGCATAGTGCGAGGCGTGGATGTGCTGTACATCATGGAGCTGATCTTGAAGCATCCAACTGTCTCCTCCGGCGTGCGCATCGCCCCAGGTCACAGCCCCACCATTCTTCAAGAGGGCGCAGAAGGCAAAGTGTGAAGCTTGGATCTTTTGCACATTCTTCAGCTGATCTTGGACCAAACCTCGGTGACGACTTGCGGCTCCCGGGAGACCGAACATATAATCATATAGGACCAAAACATAGGACCAAACACCCTTCTCTTCTCACCAGGGGCGCTAGGGCGGGCGCTTCACCCTGATTCACCCTGGAAACATCAACATAGGCTTCACCTAGGAACCTGGGATTTGAACAAAAAACACTTCAACATCACCCAAAACTGATCGGAAACTGGAGTTTCCAGGAAACTGCAGTCGCCCCCAAAGTCTGGATCCCCCCAGGTCACCACAGATCCATCAGATCGGATGGCTGCGAACGCACACTCGGAGGCTTGAATCTCTTGCACGTCTTTCAGCTGATCCTGGATTTCGCTGCTGTCACCTGGTGGCTATAGGCGTTTTAGTGCCGTTTGATCGTTTTTCATTTTCAAAGAGGTGGACAGAAATCAAAGGCTGGAAGTCTGGAAGGAGAAACGGAAAGATTGTGCGGAGAATCAAAAAAACAACCGATGCAAAGAATCTCATGTGGTGATTTCATGTGATTTCAATGGCTTTGTGGCAATCTGCAAACACTTCTTTCTTTCGTTTGCCCCACTCACCTCCATACTCTCGATTGCCCCATGTGACCACAGATCTATCAGCCAAGATGGCGGCAAAGGCACAGGCTGAAGACTTGATCGTTTGGACATGCTTCAGCTCATCGCGGACTCGGCTGCTGTCACCTCGACGTGTTCCGCAGACCGGAGGGCGAAGGGCTCAGAACCGAGGGACCAAGTTGAGTAGCGAACTCGCAAGCTTCCCACCCTATAGGGGTATCTTTGGAGGATCCAGTTCAAGGGTCGGAACCTGTCAAGATTGTTTAGGTTCCATGTTAACTGTTAAATCATGTTCAAACGGTTCAAAACACCTCAAAACACCTTGGGATTTGGGAAAAGAGTGGTAAAAATCACATGAAACGGGGAGACGGATCGGAACATGCATGAAAATGCACGTACAGTACGTCACAATCCCGAGCACCTCCATCCTCTGCCTTTCCCCAGGTGACCACTGATTCATCCGCCAAAACGGCTGCGAAGGCGCTGCTGGATGCTTGAATCTGCTGCACCGTTTGCAGCTGCTCTCGCACCGCGCTGCTGTCGCCTCCGCGTTCCGGGTCTCCCCATGTCACCACCGATCGATCCGATAAGACGGCTGCGAAGGCACCCGCGGACGCTCGCAGCTCGCGCACGCCGTGCAGCTGGGACCGCACGCCGCTGCTGTCGCCGCCCGCGGTGGGATTCCCCCAGGTGACCACGGAACGATCCGCGCGCAGCGCCGCGAAGGCGCGCTGCGACGCCTGGATGTGCTGCACGTTTGTCAGCTGATCTCGGACCAAGCTGCTGTCGCCACCTGCATCTGGATGACCCCAAGTGACAACGGATCCATCAGCAGTGATAGCAGCAAAGGCGCATACTGAAGCATAGATGTCTTGAACGTGTTTCAGCTGATCTTGGACACTGCTACAGTCACCTCCACATTCCGCATCACCCCATGTAACTGTGCCACCTCCACAGCACCACAATGCAAAAGCACCATATGTCGCGGCCATCTTGGGTGCTTGGATGACGGCTGTTAAGTGATCTCCATGATGAAGGTGTGCTTCTTCCAGAGTTTGTCTTCCGTCTAGAAGCTGCCCATCAGCCGAGATCATGAGCAAAAAAGGGCATCTAAAGAATTCTTTCGCAGCAGCCTTCAGCTCCCAGACTTTGCAACTGCATGACTTGGAGCAACGCATTGAGGAACCACTGGGCAAAGAGACGTTGATGGTCCACTTTGGAACCTGAAGACCGAGTGGAAAAAACGGCCCCGGCTTGGTCCCAGCCCGAAATGGATCATGACTACACGTTCCGTAGGATGATATTATGGCTCGAAAACCAACAACTGAATCCATCCCGCGGAGTCTTGTCTTTTCAGCCACATCCACTCATATTGAAATTGTGTGTGCATGGACAATTTCGGGTTTGGTCCGCAACGGTTGTAGGAACCTATTGGATGGGCTGTCCAAAACAGTTCGATCTACCAGGCTACCGTGGATTGTATCCACTCCGATTCCAATCCGCCTCTGAAAAAAAACGACACGACATGTGGCATCATGTCGAAGTGACAAATGGGTACAAAATGGCCCCGGAAGGATGACTGTTTTCCTCCACAAACCGGTGATTTTCCACTTCCATGATGATTCCAGCAGTCTGAAAGTCAACTCCCACCTCGTCTCGGGGGCACCTGCCTTCACGTGTGCGTGAGCGGCTTCTCCCACTCTCCATGGCGTGGAACGTGCGTTCGCCCTGGTTCCGGCGCCCGACGCTGGGCGCCCCTGAAGCCCCGACGAAGTCGGCCGAACGGTCGGGATTTCACCATGAACCCGGGCAGCTGACAAACTTGCAGGTCAGGCCCTGAATGGGGCAACAATTATATACAAGGAACCTGGATCATGTTCCGTAGCATGAGTCTTGCTGTTGAAAAAACACGTCGTTTCTTCGCCAGTTAAACAAAAACAATGATTGGCATCCCTGCGCCACCCTGGTGTGTTTTTTAAATGTCGTTTCGTGAAGATACATTCTTTATCGGAGTTTGGTGGTCATCGCGCTTTTGTATATGTCGTGCTTGCGCTGCTTTGCACCGTTTTCGCCTTGTTCTGTGTTCGCTTCGCAAGAGGCATGTGTTTGTGTTGTTTGAAGATCTTCGTTCTGCTCACTTAGTGGACAGAACAAAAACACTGACAAACTTAAAGAAGTAAGCATATACATGCATGTCTATTTCGCTGCATTCAGGATATTCAGGGTTGTCATATTACATTCTGGTGTCACACC